AGGTAACAGTCACCCTCATCACTAGTAGACACAGCATACATGGCAGCAAGAATAGCCTCATAATCAAGATCAAAGATAGCATCCCCCGCCCTAGACAGCTCTCCCCAGCGAGGGATCTCAGTGGCGTCAGGGAACTGGTGACGCCACGCGTTCGTCAGGCGGCCGAAGCAGCGCTGGGTGGAGTGCGGGCCCTCGCACTGCTCACCAGCGCGGTCGCGGGTATGGAGGACGTAGGTGTTGGGACCAGTACCCCCACCTCGCTGACGCCCAGCGTACCACTCACGAAGCTGCTGGGGGGACGGGGTCTCACGAGTGCGCTGCTGCTGCTGGTGCGGACCACCACCGGAACCACCCCTCTGTGCAGAGCCACAACCAGCTCCACCGCTGCCGCCGCCGCCTCCGCCACCTCCGCTGTAAGAGTACGACGGCTTATGCCAGCTATGCTTGCTTGCCTTTAATTTATCATGCTATTTCTAGCATAGGATAATTATATGCATGCATGAATTGCTTGATTTCCTAGGCTAGGTGCTTTCCTATATTTTATTATAGATATAGCATCGAGCTAGGTTGCGTGCACCAAATTTTGGCTTTTCGGTTGCCACTGAATTGCCTTCTATCGAATTCGGAAATGATCTGTTCGGGAAGCTTCGTGACCCGCGGAACCTTCGCGTAACAGCTGGTTACGGGGCCTTGTGTCGAGCCTATATATAGCCTCATGTTGTACCCACGTGATTCATTCAATTACAATTCTCTTTCCTGAGCTCGATCCTAGATCCTCACACTTGGTAATCAGAGCCCGTTTACACGCGAAGTTCTTTGGACCGCTAAAACCAGTCTTAAAAAAACCGCGGGGGCGACACAGTCAAACATCGATTTCAGGTACGTAAAACCGGTTCCGTGTTTTTCGCTCCCCCTCGATTCGGTTTTTCGGATGCGTTGATGTCAGGCATGGAGGGCCAAGGCGACAACTACGCGACTACGAGCGACATCGGGAGCCTCCACACCGACATGGAGCACACGCAGGCGACGCTTCGTCGACTCGAGGCTTTTCTGACAAGCCAACCAGGGTTCGCCACCGCAGCAGCAGTGACCGCAGCGACTGCAGCACCGACAACTCCAGCAGCAGTGGCGACACCGACATTTCACGGACCAATGGCACCACTGTCGCCGAACCTCGAAGCAGAACGACCGAGGCTCCCGGAGGCGTTCGATCCAAGCACGAAGGGATCCGACGTCCGACGATTCGTGGCCACCCTCGAAATCTACTTCGAGGCCATTGGTTGTTTGACCCCACAACACGACGCAGCAAGGATTCGGCTTGCAGCGACACTGTTACGTGGACCGGCTCTCGAATGGATTTACTAAACTGACGTAGCCCGCGGGGTTAAAACGTGGCAGCAGTTTCGGGCAGATTTTATCAAGCGTTTCGAACCAATTTATACGACCTACATGGCACGGCAGCAGATACACCGACACAAGCAATACAGTAGTGTAGCACAGTACACGCAGCAGATGGAGTTACTGTTCAACCGCATCACCGACCTGACCGAAGGCGAAAAAATCTAGGCGTACACCGAAGGGTTAAAAATGGAGATTCGGCGGCAGGTGATTGCGGCGAATTACAACAGCTACAGAGACATTGTGCGTGCTGCCGAGCGATACGACGCGCTAACTCGAGGTCAACCCAAAACACGACGCTTCACGCCGAACCGTACATTCGGCACGGAGCGATCGGCACCCCCCACGTTCGCCGAACCGATGGATATCGACGAATACGACGCGAAGCAGCAACCGACAAAATGCGAAATTTGCGGCGCAGCAGGGCATCAGTTTTTGTCGTGCTACAAAATGAAGAAAGCACGTGCGGCACTCTGGGGCGGAAACAGTGGAGCACCCCCGAAGTAAAAAAAACGGGAATCGCCATTAGCCGCGGATCGACCTGGCGATCGCGTAAAGATCCGAAAAGCAGAAAAAGGTGACGACGTGGCGACTTCGGAGCGGGTGAAAAAAGGAGAAAATGATGGCGCGAATCTAAAACGTCACGACCGGCCGGCATCAGGGGAAATCGCCGAGGCGAATGGAGGCTCCGCGAAAAAAGACTCTGCACCGACCCGGAAACTCCAGCCGAACACCCACGAAAGTAAGAATTCGTTAAAAGTATCTTATATAAATACTCTAACGAAGAATATTGCTTCTCGTGGTTTTCAAGCCTTTAAAAAAATCAGGGGAGGTGTAGAGGCCAAGAAAAAGCCTTTAGAAATGATTCAGGTACCTGAGAAGTTGGGCGAAGTACTACGGAGCATAGAGAAGGGTCGTGCGTTCCGTGGAGTTAATATTCTCTCCCCGCAGCACAGTGTTAAGGCTCCCCGTTGCCCACAGGTGAAGCCTACACAGCTGCCAAGGCTTAGAGGAGACATCCAGGCTCAGGAGAAATTATTCAAGCCTCGGAAAAATCCTCCTACCCCCCAGGTGAAGTTGGAAAGCGCTGAGTCAGGTATAGGAAAAAGGGAAGGTATTAAGTTTGAGGTACCCTATGATCCTATTAACGAGACCCTCTTTGGCTACTCAGCGCAGCAGAACCCACTACTCCTCGAGGTGTTATGCAATGGGCGACGCCTCCAGGCACTGGTGGACAGCGGTGCATCTCACTCGGTGTGTGACCGTGGAGCATTGGAGAAAATTGGAGAGAAGGCGGAAGAGACCCAGTTTTCAGCAACCATGGTGGACGGTACGAAGCTTCCTATCCACGACGAAGCATCACTGCAGTTGCATATAGGTGCGTTGAGGTGGAAGCCGAAGCTACCAGTCACCAACATCAAAGTGTTTTAGATTTTAACTTGGGGCGAGATTTTTTCAAGCGGTTCAACCCCGAGATCGATTGGGTCAACAGCAAGGTGTGCATCTACAACAACGGGAAGCGGATAGCACTGCGAAGCTGGACGGATACAGGGGACGTACCTGAAACGACACTGGCACGGTTCGAACAGACGGTGAACGAGAGTAACACGGGGTACCTCGCACTGGTCATGGCAGCAGCAGAGGAGGAGAAGCCGAGTTCCGAGCTCCCTGCAGTAGTAAAGGAGGTCTTGGACCAATACAAGGATATAATGCCCGACGACCTACCTGCAGGCGTACCTCCAGCACGCACCCACGAGCACGAGATCATGGAGGAACCAGGTGCGAAACCCATCTCACGTGCACCATACCGGCTGAGTCCGACAGAGCTGACAGACATGAAGAAACAGATAGAGTATCTACTCGACAGACAACTGATCCGCCCATCCACCTCTCCCTACGGTGCACCAGTTCTCTTCACTCCAAAACCAGACGGCAGTTTACGGATGTGCATCGACTACCGCGCACTGAACAAACATACAGTTAAAAACAAATAGCCCATACCGCGCATCGACGACTTACTACACCAACTGCGTGGTGCAACAGTCTTCTCGAAGCTGGACCTACGGTCGGGTTACTGGCAGATCAAGATGGTGGACAACTCGATCCACAAGATGGCGTTCCGTACCAGATACGGCTCCTACGAATACTTGGTGATGCCGTTCGGACTCTACAACTCACCAGCAACGTTTCAGGCGGAGATGAATCACATCTTACGACCCCTGCTGGACGAGTGTGTGATGGTGTACCTGGACGACATTCTCATCTACTCCAAGAACATGAAGGAGCACGTGGAGCATCTGCGGAAGGTGTTCGAGATCCTGCGGAAAAACAAGTTCTACGTGAAGCTGTCGAAGAGCGACTTCGCCCTGAAGACAGTGCAGTTTCTCGGGCACATGGTGAGTGCCGAGGGCGTACATGTGGACCCACGGAAGATCGAAGCCATCAAGAAGTGGAAAGTACCGAAGAACGTGAAGGAGTTGCAGCAGTTCCTAGGCTTCGCCAACTACTACAACAGGTTCGTGCCACAGTACACTAAGATAGCAGCGCCATTAACCGACCTACTGAAAAAGGATACGCCCTACAAATGGGATACCCCTCATCAGCAAGCCATGGAGCAGCTACAGACAGCACTGACTACAGCGCCAGTACTCATCTTGCCGGATCCAGACAAAGACTACGTGGTGGAAGCAGGCGCTAGTGACCAAGCAGTCGGAGCAGTACTGATGTAGGATCACGGACGCGGTTTACAGCCTATCGCCTACCTCTGTAAGAAACTACACGGAGCAGAAACGACAAGGAAGCCTTAGCGATAATCATAGCCTTCAAGGCGTGGAGGTGTTACCTAGAGGGAGCCAAGACTACAGTCTACTGAACATTGAGTCTCAAATACCTGAAGTCGCAGCCGACGCTCTCACGACGACAGGTGCGGTGGGTGGACTTCCTGGAAACTCACTTCCACTACGACATCGTCTACAAGCCCGGGCTACACAACCAAGCAGGCGCGTTGAGCCGCCCCGGACATGTAGCAGACATCCAGCTCGACGGGATGAACCCTCTGCTCAAGGGTCTATTCCAACATGGGTACTCCGTAGACGCAGAAATCGCTACAGCACAGACCAAGAAGTTGTTACAGTGGGAGAAAGACTTAGCTGTAAGAAAGGGTTCAAGAAAGATTTGGGTACCGAATTACGCCCCGCTACGGCAGATCCTATTGGAGGATTTTCACGACGTACATTCCGCGGGACATTTCGGGAGCAACAAGACATTAGCAGGGATAGCGAAGTATTACTACTGGCCCGGGATGGCAGCAGACGTGCAGCAGTTCGTCACCTCTTGCGACACGTGCCAGCGGATGAATAGTAGCAAGCAGAAAAAAGCAGGGTTACTTCAGCCTCTACCCGTACCGGGGCAGCCATGGCAGGTCGTTAGCCTCGACTTCATCACAGGACTTCTTTCAACCTCACGAGGACATGATTCCATCCTCGTGGTGATCAATAAGTTCTCCAAAATGGGTCACTTCATACCGACCAACGCCACAGCTACAACTGAAGCAACTGCTCGCCTCTTCTTCGACCGCATCATCACCATCCACAGCATCCCCGCTACACTCATCTCAGACAGAGACCCCAAATTCACGAGTAAGTTCTGGAAGGAGCTCATGGGATTATTGGGGACCAAACTTGCGATGTCCTCAGCATACCACCCACAGACTGACAGACAGACAGAGCGACTCAATCAAGTGGTTGAATAGTTACTGCGCACAGCTTGCAAAGATGACGTCAGTCACTAGGACACACAGTTACCGACCCTAGAGTTCGCTTACAACAACGCGTCACATGCGGCGACAGGGCAAACTCCCTTCTTCCTGTGTTACGGACGGGAACCACTTACACCGCAACAGCCAACCACACCGGCACACGTCCAAGCCGCACATGACTTTGTCACCACCATGCAGCAGCTATGGGAGAAGACTCAACGACGTCTCACCACGATGCAGAACTCCCATAAGCAGTATGCCGATCGTCAGCGACGAGATCACTCAGTAGCAGTCGGAGATCAGGTGCTTCTTGACACACGCAACTTGAACTTGTCTCACCTCCCATCCAAACTCCGGCCTCGCTTCTGTGGTCCTTTTCTCGTGGAGGCACAGGTGACACCAGTTACATTCCGCTTGCGCTTACCAGATACGTGGAAGCTTCACAACGCTTTCCATGTGCAGCTACTGAAACCCTACAAGGACCCCAACCACCAGTTCCAGGGACGGCAGCTACCGCCACCTCCACCTGTTCTTGTGCAGGATGAACCCGAGTACGAGATTGAGCGCGTTCTCTCTCATCGGCGCTGTGGCGGCAAGACCTTCGAGTTCCTGATACGCTGGAAGGGATACGACCCCACTGAGGACAGTTGGGTTGCAGAAGCTGATATGGGCAACGCAAGCCGTGCTCTCAAGGAATATCTTGTCAAGCAGGGTGTATCTCACGCCACCCAGCTTTGAGGGGGGGACGTGTGAGAGTACGACGGCTTATGCCAGCTATGCTTGCTTGCCTTTACTTTATCATGCTATTTCTAGCATAGGATAATTATATGCATGCATCAATTGCTTGATTTCCTAGGCTAGGTGCTTTCCTATATTTTATTTTAGTTATAGCACTGAGCTAGGTTGCGTGCACCGAATTCTGGCTTTTCGGTTGCCACCGAATTGCCTTCTACCGAATTCGGAAATGATCGGTTCGGGACGCTTCGCGACCCGCGGAACCTTCGCGTAACACCTGGTTACGGGGCCTTGTGTCGAGCCTATATATAGCCTCGTGTTGTACCCAGGTGATTCATTCAATTACAGTTCTCTTTTCTGAGCTCGATCCTAGATCCTCACATCCGCCGCCTCCGCTCCCACCGCCACTGTCGCCGCCTCCTCCGCCTACACTGCTGCCACCGATACCTCCACCCCCGCCACCACTCCCACCACCACCCCCACCCCCTCCACTACCTCCACCGCCACCTCCACCGCCCCCGCCAGCCCCTCCAGCGCCCTTGCCCCCCTTGCCCTTGCCGGTGCGGCGTCTCCCACTAAGGGCAGATGCGGCGCTGACCGACTCGAAGCCAACGAGGTCGGCCGCAGCAGGAGAAGCAACAGAGGGCAAGAGGGGGGAGGGGGAACACCCCTCAAAGACGAGGGTACGAGGGTCACCACGAGAGGCTCCTACAGCAACTATGCTCTTCTCTGCTGCCAGGAGGCGCTCCTTGAGGAGGTCAACGGTGAGTGTGGTGGGGCAAACTGAAAGGAAGTGGTCCCTGACTAAGCGAAGGGAGTCAGGGAGCCGGGTGACTATGTAGTAGAGGGTGATGTACATGGGGGGGTGGTTCTTGGCATAGAACTCAGCAGGAAGCGCAGCGCAGTAGCGAGTGTCACTAGTGCGAAGGTGCGTAATGAGGTCAGCGACTGTGGGAAAGGCAGCAAGGTCAGGAAACAGGTATGGCAGCATGAGGCGGCTAAGAGCAGCAGTGGCAGGGGAAGAGTAGCGTGTAACTACAGCGTCGTACAAGGTCTTAGCACTCTTGTACTGACTAAAGTGCGCACGCTCAGTGGTCGGTAAGTGGCGACGCACAGCAAGACGGGCAGCAGCATCGCGTGTGGCCCACTGTGAGCGAACAGTGCTGTCAGCATCCGTAGGCGGGCAGGAGATGCACCAGAGGTGAGGTCGAACAGGGAGAGTGCGTCTGCCCTATCGCACTGGAGGAAATGCTGGAGGTCATCGACCTAGACCTCAAAGTCAACAGCACGACCCTCAGCATCAAAGGTAAGGACACAGGGGGTGTCAGAATGTTATTCTCTAGCCTGTAGTGGGGTGCTCTATAGCGAGTACAACCCATCTAGGGTTTGCTATATGTATCCTCATTGCTGCTAGTGAAACTCCTCTCTTCTTCATTCTCATTTATTCACATGCTATCATAGCATCTACGCTACTAGCCTGTGGTTCCAGCTAATTGCTTCCGCTGCTACTCTGTGTTCGGCATGCCCCGTGGCGTGCCCCTCGCGCTACTCTTAGCGGCCCCGTTGCCGCCCTTCCAGGCCCCTCGCGGCTCCTTCGCGGCCCCGTCGCCGCCCCTTTCGCGGCCCGTCGCCGCCCTTCCAGGCCCCTCGCGGCCCCTTCGCGGCCCCGTCGCCGCCCCTATCGGCCCCGTCGACGCCGCCAGCGGCCCCGTCGCCGGCCCTAACGGCCCCGTCGCCGCTCCTATTGGCCCCGTCGCCGCCGCCAGCGGCCCCGTCGCCGCCGCCAGCGGCCCCGTCGCCGCCGCCAGCGGCCCCGTCGCCGACCCTAGCGGCCCCTGTCGCCGCTCCTATCGGCCCCGTCGCCGCCGCCAGCGGCCCCGTCGTCGCCGCCAGCGGCCCCGTCGCCGCCTCCAGCGGCCCGATCGCCGCCACTTGCGGCCCCAGCCCCGCCTCGGCCATGCCCCGTCGCCAGCCGCGGCGCACCGGGGGCACGTGCACCGCCCCCCCCCCCCTTTTCCCGTCGCCCGTCGCGGCGACCTGAGGGGGCCGCGGGGGCGAGCATCGCTCCTTCTGCCGCCTGTTTTGGCGCCCTGGGAGACCGCGTGTCGTCCCCCCCCCCCCCCCCCCCCCCCCCCCCCCAACCTCCCTACCCGCCGTCCCGCCCTGCCCTGTGTTAGGGTCTGGGGGTGGCGAGTAGGGGGTGACGGGTGTGTGGTCTCCCTTGCTCCTCCTCCTCCTCCTTCGTCTCCCACTGCTGCAGCTGTCGCTAAGGGGGGTGGATGTGTGGGAGCCTGGGGTTTAGGGTTGAAGGGGGGTGCTGTGGGAGTGGAGCTAGGGTTTTGAGGGAGGTGGATGTGTGTGAGCCTGCAGTTTAGGGTGTATGGGGGGTGCTATGGGAGTGGAGCTAGGGTTTGAGCAGGGGGTGTGTGTCGAGAGGTGTGGGGCAGCTGGAGGAGGTTGGATGAACGGAGGTTGTCGTCGTGTCGTCAGCAGCACCAGTAGTCCGGGGCGCTGCTCCGGTAGCCCAGTCGTAGCCAGCTGTGCCAGTCGCCCGTGGGTCCGTTGCTCGTCTGCCGCTAGTCTTAGCCGCGGAGCCAGTTACTCCAGTAGTCCGGAGCGCTGTTCCGGTAGCCGCTGTGCCAGTGTGACTCCTGTTGCCCGTGTGTCTGCAGCTTCAGCCGTCGCCTCCTATCTCCTCTCCTCTTACAGTCTCGCCTCCTCCTCCTCACTTGCCCTTTGTGAATGACTCTAGCTTTGCTCACTATTGTGAACTCTTGCTCTATGCCTGCTTGCTCATTGTGTTGATTACACCCCACTTTGGCTATGGGGGTGTGTCAGAATGTTATTCTCTAGCCTGTAGTGGGGTGCTCTATAGCGAGTACAACCCATCTAGGGTTTGCTATATGTATCCTCATTGCTGCTAGTGAAACTCCTCTCTTCTACATTCTCATTTCTTCACAGGGTGTAGCCATGACAGCAGTGGTCTAGCAGGGAGTGCTCTTACCAGTCCGAGTGGGTAGGGCCGCGGCGCGCCGGTAGGAACAGGGCTGTAACCGCGGTGGCAGCGGCTCGGCAGTGACAGTAGCGGCTCGACGGCAGCGGCTCGGCGGCTGGGCGGCTCGGCGGCTCGACGGGTCGGCTGCTGGGCGGCTCGGCGGCTCGGCTGCTGGGCGGCTCGGCTGCTGGGCGGCTCGGCGGCTCGGCTGCTGGGCGGCTCGGCGGCTCGGCGGCTCGGCTGCTGGGCGGCTCAGCGGTGAAGGGGCCGCGAAGGGCGGCGACGGGGCCGGTAGAGGCGGCGACAGGGCCGCGAAGGGCGACGGGGCCGCTAGAGGCGGCGACGGGGCCGTGAAGAGCGGCGGCGGGGCCGCTAGGGGCGGCGACGGGGCCGCGAAGGGCGGCGACGTGGCCGCAAAGGGCGGCGACGGGGCCGCTAGGGGCGGCGACGGGACCGCTAGGGGCGGCGACGGGGCCGATAGGGGCGGCGACGGGGCCGCAGAGGGGCCGCGAGGGGCCTCGAAGGGCGGTGACGGGGCCGGTAGGGGCGGCGACGGGGCCGCAAAGGGGGCCGCGAGGGGCCTAGAGGGGCGGCGACGAGGCCTAGAGGGGCGGCGACAGGGCCGCGAAGGGGCCGCGAGGGGTCTAGAGGGGCGGCGTCGGGGCCTAGAGGGGCGGCGACGGGGCCGCAAAGGGGTCGTGAGGGGCCTAGAGGGGCGGCGACGGGGCCGCAAAGGACGGCGACGGGGCCGTAAGGGGTGGCGACGGGGCCGCTAAGGGTGGCGCAAGGGGCCTCTAGGAGGGCGCGACGTGAGGGCGGCCTACGGGGCGCGCCTCGGGCAGGAAAAAAAGTCGAGTTCAGTGGTGGGCCCTGAGAAGCGTTCCCACGAGGGAACTTGCTCTATACCATGTGAAGAATGAGGAATGAATGAACTAGCAAGCAGGTGGGTACAAGTAGGAAAACCTAGAAATGTTGTACCCCATATTGTCTACCCCACTACAGCCTACACAGACTATAGCATATAAGTTTGACACGTGCCGGGGACAGGAGGAGGACGCTCACGAGGAACACGACGACCAGTGCGACCAGCGTGAATAGGCGAGGCTGGACGAGACGTAGGCTCACAACGCTCAGTAAGACCTCTTGTCTGCTTAGTGTAAGGAGAGGGAGTAGGTAGTGGGGAGCCTGGCTGTAACGGGAGACCAGTAGAAGACGGGAGACTAAGAACCTTGCAAAGCACCGAGCCAGGCGACGTCAGAGACGACGGTGACCGCGCAGCGAAGAACAAATGCGGCGGTGCAACACCACCAGTACCAGCTCCTCCAGCGCCAGCACCTCCAGTACTAGTACCAGCAGCTCCAGGGTCTCCAGCAGCTCCAGAAACTCCAGCTCCCGGGTCACCAGCTCCAGCGCCTACAGCTCCAGGGCCTCCAGCTCGACAGTCCGCAGCACCACCAGCTTCGGCCGCTCCAGTACCTCCAGCTCCCGCGCCTCCAGCCGCAGCGCCTCGAGCCCCAGTAGCGCCTCTCCGAAGGCGGCTGTGCTGAGTGTACCACTCGCGTAGCTGCTGCGGCGAGAGAGCACCTCCAGAACCTCCAGGACGAGCACCTCCAGGACTAGCAGTGCCAGCTCCACCAGCACCACCAGTAGCGACATTACCACCAGCTCCGGTAGCTCCAGTACCTCCAGTACGAGCACGTCATGGACCAGCAGCTCTAGCACCTCTAGTACCTCCAGTAGCAGTAGCACCACCAGCTCCGGCAGCTCAAGCGCCTCCAGGACTAGCACCCCCGTGACCAGTAGCTCCAGCACCTCCAGCAGCAACAGCACCACCACCAGCTCTAGCAGCTCCAGCACCTCCAGTGTGAGCACTTCCGGGACTAGCAGCTCCAGCACTTCGAGCAGCAGCACCACTAGAGTGCAGACGCAGGATAGGAAGGTCCGTATCAAACCGCTCGCGGAGCTGAAGACGGACAGCGCGGATCCAGGGGATCAAGACATCAGGGACCTCACCCTTGCTGCGCAAGGGGAAGACCGTGGTGTAACGCGAGTAGTCGTCAACAACCAGCAGAAAGTATCGCTCGCGGCCCTGTCCTTGGATGCGGGCTGGGCCCCACACGTCCAAGTGGAGAGTCTGCAGGGGAGCAGTCGTCAGGGGAAACGAGGAGGAGTGAGGAGCGGCGCGCTGCCGCCCCTCGACACAGGGAAGGCAGGGAGGGGCAAGCGAGGGTGGGAGGGGAGGCACAGACCTGGGAAGACTCGAGACAAGAAGGTGAGAGTGCATGCCACGGAGGCATGGCAGAGAGGGGTGGCCAAGGCAGTGGTGCCAAAGGAGAGTCTGGTGCGAGAGGGCGCGACACGAGCAGGAGGCTGCTAGCTGACCTGACGCGGACGCAGACGCAGCTACCTGAGGAGGCGCAGTAGTCAGTGTGTACAGGCTCGACCCAGGCCGACGGGTGAACGTGGCCAGGTGACGGCCCGTCCGTGCACACGTGCAGATCGCCACACGCTGTCCCCTAGGAGTAAAGGTATTAACCCATTCATCCTGAAGGACGGCGTTGCTCACCAAGTTCGTAGAGAACGAGGGGAGGTGAAGACTTGACAGTGAGCCAGACGGAACCGCCGAACACGGGAGAACAATGGAGGAACGTGCAAGAACCAGTCCCCCACAGGGATCAGCCAGAGAGACTGCAACCGGTGCTGCAAGTGGTGTGACTGTGGTGCTGTCGCGAAAGGAGCAACGGGAAGCACCCGAGTCAAGCGTTAAGGTGTGCAAGGCCTCAGCAGGCGCATTACCAGAGAGAGCAGACTCATCAGCACCTAGAGTAGACTCACCAGCACCTAAAGCAGCAGCCGCTATACCAGGGTCGGGCGGCACACATAGGTAACAGTCACCCCGAGTACTAATAGTCAAACCATACATGGCAGTGAGCATTGTGTCATAGTCTAGAGCAAAGATATCCACCTTGTTCCTAAGCAGCTCTAGCCAGTCGGGGATCTCAGCCTCGTCGGCAAACACTGCACGCCAGGTGTCGCTTAGACACGCGAAGCAGCGAGCCTGTGTATGACCAAGTGTCCCGCAAGTCTGACCAACCCAATCACCTGTGTGAATGACGTACGGACAGCGGACAGTTTTCCAAGTCCCCCCACTCTGAGCGTACCACTCACGAAGCTGCTGGGGCGTAGGGGTCACGCGTGGACGTCGCTGAAGCTGCATCTGGCCACCGCCAGAAACTCCGTACCGAACAGCTCCACCACGACTGCCACTACGGCCGCCGCCACCACTCCAGCTGCTGTCACCACCGCCGTCACCTCTCCGACCACTGCCACGAAGAGAAGTCATAGCGGGCCAAGTAAGGAGGCGTGCGACCAGTAGGGCAGTACGGAGGAAGGCAGTAGCACGAGCAGAGCGGCTCGGTGAGGCTAGGCTGCAGCACCTCCAGCACTCCTAGCAGCACCTCTACCAGCAGCAGCAGTAGCACGAGCAGCAGGGTGGATCGGGTTGGGCAGGGCAGCTCGGGCTGGGCGGTGCGACTTAGCCTGGCGGCGCGGGCAGCAGGGCGCGCGCTGTGCAGGGCAGTAGGGCGCGACGCGCGGGCAGCAAGGCGTGGCGCGCGGGCTGCAGCAAGGCGCGATGCGCGGGGCAGCAGGGCGTGACGCGCGGGTTGCAGTAGGGCGCGACGCGCGTGCTGCAGCAGGGCGCGAGCGCGGGGCAGCATGGCGTGACGCGCGGGCAGCAAGGCGCGGCGCGCGGGCTGCAGCAAGGCGCGACGCGCGGGGCACCAGGGCGCGACGCGCGGTCTGTAGCAGGGCGCGATGCGCGGGGCACCAGGGCGCGACGTGCGGGCTGCAGCAGGGCGCGACGCGCGTGCTGCAGCAAGGCGCGACGCGCGGGCTGCAGCAGGGCGCGACACACGTGCTGCAACAGGGCGCAAGCGCGGGGCAGCAGGGCGCGACGCGCGGGCTGCAGCAGGGCGCGACGCGCGGGGCAGCAGAGCGCGACGCGTGGGCTGCTGTAGGGTGCGACGCACAGGGCAGCAGGGCGCGACGCGCGGGCTGCAGCAGAGCGCGACCCGCGGGGCGGCTGTAGGGCGCGACGCGCAGGGCAGTAGGGCGCGAGCTGCAGCAGGACGCGGGGCAGGGCAGGGCGTGCGCGGGGCAGCACGACACGGGGCAGGGTAGGGCGTGCGCGGGGCAGAGCAGGGCGTACGCGGGGCAGCGCGACGCGGGGCAGAGCAGGTCGTGCGCGGGGGAGCGCGACGCAAGGCAGGGCAGGGTTGGGGGCGTGCTGATGGCGCGGCGCAGGGTAGGGCACGGGGTAACGTAATCGCAGTCGATTACTAGGTAATGGTGGTCCCGAAAAAAAACGGTCCTACGAACCTCCTGCTCTGAACACCCGTCAGGAACTAATGAGCAGGAATGGTCCCATTGACATCAAACTGAGTACAAGTATTACCCTAATTGGGTTGTACCCCATATGGGCTACCCCACTACAGCCTACACAACATAAGTAGCATTATGGTTTGACAAAGTCGGGTAGGGCCAAATACTCGACCCGACTTAGGGCGCGGTACCCGAAGCTGAGTCAGGTGCGACGTCGGGTTTAAATCCGACCCGACCCGATCCAACCCGGTTTCGGGTCTCGGGTCGGACCCGGCCGGGTCAGCGCTTCAAACTGCCTGACCCGACCCGCCGGGGCAGGATGATCATGCCTAATGCCAGTAGGCCGTAAACTAGGTGCAAGCAAGCACCACACAACAGCTCTTTTGCAAGCCACACGCTTGATCTAACGAAGAAAAAATAAATAGAAGAGCACGTGGGAGAGCACCTACATACACGTTCATGCTTTCTCCGGTTACTAACTATCGGCGCGCTCTGCGCCGAAGGAATTCTGGGATGTTAGGGGCTGTTGTGCGAGGCGAAGGAGGTGGCGGCGGCTGGGTCATGGGCTGTGACTGTACAGGGGTTGCTCTGTTTCCGACCACTCGAGATGCCGGAGGAACCTGGGTCCATGGAAATTTCACGAAGAGTCACCACAAGTGGAGAAATTACGGAAGCATGGAAGGTTGGTGCTATATGTGATGACGAAAACCATTGCCTTAGTGATGTGCAGTGCTGGGAGCGTATTTAGCAAGCAGGCAGAGGCAATGTCACATGTCATGGACTGTGCTCACCTGAGGGCCCTGATCCCGCAGGCCCGTGGCGATGAGTGTGATGCTCAGCTGCAGAGGTGAGAACGTGGGACACATGGGTCAAGGGCATGTATGTAAGGAGAAGGTGAGGGAGCGAGGAAACATGGGCAACGCTTTGCTGTCATGTTGTGATGACTGACAGGCGGCAAAGTAGGCAGGACGGAGGTTAGCTAGGTGGGACAAAGAAGAAACAGCATGGCATGGCATGGCAATGTATGGCATGACATGCAGGCCAGGGCATGGCATGGATTGGCATGGCAGGCACGGTATGGCATGGCTCACATCTGCTCCAAGTGAGTCATCAACAACAGCACCGAAGATGAGGTTGGCGTCTGGATGCACGAGGCGATGAATCTCCTCCGCTGCCTCATTCACCTGCCATGTGACATGGGACACACACACATACCGCACCGGCATTGCTCGCACACACACACACGCACACATGCACACACACACACACACGCACACATGCACACACACACACACACACACACGCACACATGCACACACACACACACGCACACATCCACACACACACACACATGCACACACACACACATGCACACACAAACACACAACCACACATGCACACACACACACACACACACACACACACAACCACACATGCACACACACACACATGCACATAACACACACATGCATGCGCATGCACACACACACACACTCACACACACACACACACACACACACACACAGGGACAGCAGAACAAAGGAACAAAACAAAGTATCAGCATCAACCCCTGTAACAACATGTAAGCCCAGTTCCATTAACCATCAACAACCAGTTGAGAGCACAACCACCCTCCCACGCTAATCCCCCACCACCCATCCCTCGCGCTGCTCCATCCACCCACCTCGAGCAGGGTCATGTCGGAGGGCCCGGTGATGTTCCACACGATGCCCGTCGCCTGATCAATGCCCACGTCCAGCAGTGGCGACTGGATCGCTGCCTGCGCTGCTAGCTTCGCCCTGCCCTTGCCTGATAGACGGAAGTCACGAGCGAGGCACATGAGAGCAGGGAGGGGTGGTGAGGAAGGGGTCGTGGATCAGGGTAGGGGGATGAGGATGGAGGGAGGATAAGGGGGGAAGGGTATGGTAGGAAGGGGGAAAGAGGAAAGCAAGAGCACTATTTTGTTGCCAGCTCCAGGAATGGTGAAGGGCAGAGTGGGTAAGGAATGGCACGAAGCTATTTGATATGGAGCTCATACTGTAAGCGAGGCACTGGGAGGAGGCAGGAAGAGGCATTTATAGCTTGCCTGTGCTGCTTTGCTGTACGCCAGCAAGTAAGCAAGTAAGAGTGTTGCTAAATGAGCAAACTGAAGAGGCCATTTCCTATTTTGACCTTATGTCACCAAAACCCATCCGAGTCCACCAGTTAGTCACATATCAACTGAGGAGACACCAATGCCCTCTTAAAGCCCACGGCTCACCTGAGGCGACCCCAATGCCCATGAGCGAGGAGCCCGCATTGGCCATGATCGCCCTCACATCCGCAAAGTCCACATTCACCAGCCCCGGCACCTGAGCAGGGTGGGTGTGGGGAGGGGTGGGGGCGGGGAAGGGAAGAGAGGGAAGACTCACACAAATCAAGGGTGGGGTTGGAATTTATATTCCACATTCACCAGCCCTGGCAGCTGGAGGGGAAAGGGGGAAGAATGAAGAGGAACTCATGCGTGAAAACATATCCCACTGGAACCAGCCCCAGCAATTAGAAACGAGAGGAGAGAGGGGAGGAATGGGAAGAGGGGGGGTTATACAGTGACACAGGCACGCAAACAGGTAAATGGGCAGAAGAACAGGCACACACACAGGCACAGAGACATACAGAGAGACGGGCATCGAGAGAGATTCCTCAGAGGAAGGACCGTTTGAGAGGCACACAGAATGTTGCTCACCTGGATGATATCGGAGATGCCTCTGACACCCTGCCTCAGCACATCATCAGCAAGTGTGAACGCCTCATTGATGGGCGTGCTCTGCCCCACGGCCGCCAGCAGCTTATCATTCGGGATCACAATCAGCGCGTCCACATGCTGCCGCAGCGCCGACACCGCGTCCCTCGCCTGCAGCTTCCGCCGCTGCCCCTCAAACGAAAACGGCTGCGTCACAATCCCCACCGTCAGAATCCCCATGCTGCGCGCCACCTCCGCCACCACTGGCGCCGCCCCACTCCCGGTCCCTCCCCCCATCCCCGCGGTCACAAACACCATATCCGCGCCTGCCACTGCTGCTTGCACCACGTCGCGGCTCTCCTCTGCGGCGCTCTCGCCTATTCTGGGGTTGCCGCCGGCGCCAAGGCCGCGCGTGAGAGCGCCGCCGATCTGGATGCAGTGGGTGTTGTCCACTGGGGAGAGCGCCATGGCCTGCCTGTCCGTGTTCAGCACCCAGAACTCCACCCCCTGCATGCCGCTCTGTCGTGGGGGCGGGGGGAGGGGGAGGGAAGGGGGGAAGAGAGAAAGGGGCGGTGCTGAGCTGGCAGTCCGTGTTTATTACCCAGAACTCCACCCCCTGCATGCCGCTCTGTGATGGAGGAGAGGGGAATGTGGAAGGGAAACAGGGGGAAGGGGGCGGAATGTTGGAGGAAGAGAGGAAGGCGGAGAAAGGGAGGCTTTCCACTGGTGGTCAGTTCTTAAGGCATGGCAACCACCCCCTTTCAGAAGCAAGAAATCTCTGCACACAGGATGCCCAAGACACACACTGGCCCCATGCTCTCCCTTCCTTCAACATCATCACCTTCCCCGAACCCCTCTCCCTCCCTCCCTCCCCAACCCCGTTCTGCTGAGCCTTCCCCAACCCCTTTCTCCAACTCCCCACAACCTGCCAGCCCTGCTTTCTCCCCTCCTCTCCTCCTCTACCCAGTGCACTCACCAGCACCATGCGGTTCACCGCATTCGACCCCCCTCCACCGACGCCAATCACTTTGATCCTCGCCCCATCCACCCCCACTGCCGACGCAGCCACCCCCATCCCCTCCTCCGCCCACCCATAACCCCCCCTACGCGCAGCACTCATGTTGCCACTGGCGCGCTCAGGGGCTTGAGCGGGGGGTGGAGGATAGGCGGGGGAGGAGGTGGGCGCGGGGTAGGGAAGGGGGGAAGCAGTGGGGGCGGAGGAGGGGGATGGAGGGGGTGGGCGGAGGGGCATGGGAGCGGGAGGAGGCGAGTAGGCAGAGGGGTAGGCGGCGGGGGGAGGGTAGGTGCGGGAGTAGGTGGGTGAAGGTGATGGTTGCCTGGGCACATGGGTCGGTGCTGGTGGTACTGGTGATGCTGATGCTGGTGACGGCGACCGCAGCACATACTGCAGTGAGGGGCATTGAGGGGCGAAGAGGGGCATTGAAGGGCGTTGCAGGGGCGTTGAGGGACATGGCGGGTGGTGGGGGAACGGCAGGAGACGCATGACAACACACAACAAGCACGGGTGGAAAGGAGCTCGGACGTGATGAAAAGCGGAGAACAAAGCAGGATGAGGAATGTGTGGGAGCGATGAGAGGTGTGCGTGCTTGGTGGGTGCGAGGAGCAGGAACAAGACATGGTGGCGATGGCATGGAGGAGAGGGGAAACTGGGGGAGGGGGGAGGGGGGAAGGGGGAGGACAGTGATAATTGCATGGGTGTTTGAAGTGGTCGGCTGAAAGGGGGAGGTGAGCGTAGGGGGACAGGAAGAGCATGTGAGTGCACGAACGTGAGCGTGCACATGTGATGTGCCCATGTGGTTGTGTAAGAGTTGGGAGATGACGAGGGAGGGCTTACCGAGGGGGAGTGCAGGCCCGTGGCAATGAGAGTGATGCTGACCTGCACGGTTACAGAGCAGCGTGGGGGGTTTGCAGCAAAGGAGAGTGAGGGAGAGAGAGTAAGACAAGGGAGGACCGAGGAGGGAGACGAGAGGGGGGTGGCGGATACGCAATTAGAGGAATGCAGGCAGACTTGGGAGGAATTGATAGTGAATGGGGAGAGACGGGCGAAAGAGAGGGGTATACTCGGGGAGGGGTATGGGACGTGAAGGAATGGGGAATTTAATTTGGGGATCAGTGCATAAAAACAACGGGCGCAGAGGCAGAAAGCCTCCCAAAACGAGACTGGACTGGCCTACCCCAGTGCTTACCCTCCTCAATCCATCTTCCCTCCCTCCCTCCCTCCCTCCCTCCCTCCCTCCCTCCCTCCCTCCCTCCCTCCCTCCCTCCCTCCCTCCCTCCCTCCCTCCCTCCCTCCCTCCCTCCCTCCCTCCCTCCCTCCCTCCCTCCCTCCCTCCCTCCCTCCCTCCCTCCCTCCCTCCCTCCCTCCCTCCCTCCCTCCCTCCCTCCCTCCCTCCCTCCCTCCCTCCCTCCCTCCCTCCCTCCCTCCCTCCCTCCCTCCCTCCCTCCCTCCCCTCCCTCCCTCCCTCCCTCCCTCCCTCCCTCCCTCCCTCCCTCCCTCCCTCCCTCCCTCCCTCCCTCCCTCCCTCCCTCCCTCCCTCCCTCCCTCCCTCCCTCCCTCCCTCCCTCCCTCCCTCCCTCCCTCCCTCCCTCCCTCCCTCCCTCCCTCCCTCCCTCCTCTCTCTCTCTCTCTCTCTCTCTCTCTCTCTCTCTCTCTCTCTCTCTCTCTCTCTCTCTCTCTCTCTCTCTCTCTCTCTCTCTCTCTCTCTCTCTCACGCCCACATGCCAGCGAGCCTTTCAGCTTCCGCACGCCCACGCACCCCCAAAACACCCCCCGTCCCATGGGCCGTAGAGTACCTCGTCAGCCAGAGAGGGGTCAACAACAGCGCCAAAGATGAGGTTGGCGCGCGGGTCCACCAGCTGGTAGATCTGCTCCGCTGCCTCGTTCACCTGCCCCGGGAGGAGAGAGTGGGTGGGAGGGTGGGGGCGTGGGCGAGTGGACGGGTGGACGGGTGGGTGTGTGGAAGGGTGGTTGGATAGGTGAGTGGAAGGGCGTACTGATACGCGCGGGTTCACCACCTGGTAGATCTGCTCCGCTGCATCGTTCACTTGCCTGCCCCCGGGAGGAGAGAGTGGGTGGGAGGTTGGGAGCGAGCGGGGATGGTGGCGTGGCCGAGTGGACGGGTGGACGGGTGGGGGGGTGGGTGGGTGGAGGGTTGGATGGAAGGAAGGATGAGTGGAAGGAAGGGCGGATGGATGGAAGGGCGTATGGAGAAGCTTTTGCACGCAGTGGGGTCTGATGTGTGATGGAGGGGAGGGGGAACGTGATCACACATGGTCACACCAACTGGCCTCCGCTTTTCATGCGCGATGCATGCCACTGGATTGCACCGGCCGGCATGGCTGTCTCGACAAGGGTCATGCAGCATGCACGGGCTTGCTTACCAGTGGGCACACGCAGCACATCACACCCCAGTGACCCACATCCGTCCCGCTTCCTCCCTCACCCCCCTTAGCATCATCCCAGAGGGCCCCGTGATGCTCCCTTGAATGCCCATCGCGTTGCCTTCGGAGACGTCTCACCAGCCATCCCGTTGACCTACACCCATGCTGCCTCTTTTCCCTCGCTCACCTCGCTGAGCGTCATGCTGGGCGGGCCAGTGATGTTCCACACGATGCCCGTGGCGTTGCCTATGCCCGTGTCCAGCAGCGGCGACTGTATCGCCTGCTGCGCCGCCTCCCGAGCCCGGTGCTTGCCTGCTCTCGCATATACACCCGGAGGGGGGGTGAAGCGGGGGGAGTGGGCAGAAAGGGTGACGTGGGAGAGAAGAGAGTTGGAAGGAAGTGCTAGGGCGGGATGGTGCGCATGGGGAGGGGACAGGCTGCGGAGGGAGAGGAGGAAAGGAGGGGATGGGACGGAATGAGTCTGACAGGTCTCGGACACGAGGGGAGATGGGAGGGAACGCAAGGTGGGTAGGAGTTTGTGAGCAGCCGATGCAAGAACGAGAGGTATGAAGAGTTCACTGCTCCTGCTTCCTTTCCAGTCATTGTGAACACTTTTTTCCACAAACATGTATGGTTACGTGCCTGGTGTGCTTGGTTCCAGCCCCTAACCCCTGCATTCCCAGCCTCAGAATTCCTGTTCCCCTCACGGCCTGCCCGTTCAACCTACAACTCCTTGCTTACCCGTCCCGACCCCTTAGGCCGCTTAAAGCCCAAGCTGATAACCCATGACCCACCTGAGGCGACCCCAATGCCCATGAGCGAGGAGCCTGCATTGGCCATGATCGCCCTCACATCCGCAAAGTCCACATTCACCAGCCCCGGCACCTGACACAGGGAGGGGAGTCGGGGGGGGGCGGAGGGGAGGGGGGAGAGAGACAAGCACATGCAGGGTAAGCTTGACATTTGAATTCCGCATTTAACAGCCGCACACTTGAGTGAGAGAAGAGGGAGCAGAGGAAAGGGGGGAGAGGGAGTGAGCGAGAGACACGGAGTGGCGAGGCTGTCATGGGTGGTTGGGACAATAGAGCACGGGTATTACTGGCAGAACGGACACGACCACCAGGTGAAGACAGATAAGTGAAGGGGGAAATGGGTGAATCAGGAAAGGGTATGGGGGAGAGGGGAGAGGGGAGAAGCAGTGGGAGTATGGAGAATCGCGTGGCTTTTCTTACATACACTTCATGAGTGCGAGACCCACCACTCATGACTGCTCATTCCCTCTTTCTCCATTTCCTCCGCACCTTTCAAACCCCTCCCAACCCCACTGCCCCTTCACAAACCTCCCTCCCTCCTCCCAGCAATGCCCCAATCATACGACACCCTGCACTCGCGCCCAACCAACCCGCCGCACCCCACCACACCGCACCGCACCGCGCCCTCACCGCACCACACCGCACTGCACCGACCTGCACGATGTCGGAGATGCCGCGCACGCCCTGGCGCAGCACGTCGTCCGCCATCACGAACGCCTCGTTCACGGGCGTGCTGGCGTCCACGGCGCTCAGCAGCTTGTCGTTCGGAATCACGATCAGCGTGTCCACCGCGCCCCGCAGCTCCTCCAGCGCGCGCACCGCCTGCGCCGCGCGCCGCTGTCCCTCGAACGAAAACGGGAGAGTCACAATGCCGACTGTGAGGATCCCGAGGCTCCGCGCGACCTCCGCCACCACCGGCGCTGCGCCGCTGCCCGTTCCGCCTCCCATCCCCGCCTGCGGGAGGGTGGGGGCGGAGGGGGAGAAATGGGAAGGGGTTGGCGGGAAGGGAGAGAGGCGGTGGAGGATATATACTGGTTGCCCGGTGAAGGATGAACCGTGTGGATGGCTCAATAGCGAGGGGGGATGGGAGGGAGGGAGAGGCATAGAGAATGACGAGGGCCATGGAAAGAGAGGGGGGGAGGGGGACTACAGAGCCCCTCGTGCGAACCGCCATGATACTTACTCACGCTCGCCGCTCGTTTCGTGGTGCAAAAAGATAGTTGTACACATGCGTTCCTTGGTATGATCACACAGTTAATCACTCTTCGATACAACATCAAGTCCTTCTCCTCTTCCTTCTTCAGTACTCTCGCTGTTCCCTGCTCGTCATTTGTTCCGCTTCGCTTGTTACTCGTTGTGTCCACTCGTTCCAACTCCAGCTGCGAGTAATCCCACTCAAGCACTTCACAAATACTCGTCTCTCCACCACTCCCAGTGTCTCCCACCGCCACGCTAACCCACCCGGCAGCCAACACTAGTCAACCTCTCCGAAAAACAAAAACGAATTGGACCACATCGTCCTGTCCTCTCGTCCTTCAATCGTCTGCCTCTCACCGTAACGAACACCATATCCGCGCCAGCGAGCGAGGCCTGCAGCATCAGCCGGCTCTCCTCCGCCGCGTGCTGCCCGATCATCGGGTTGCCACCCGCGCCCAACCCCCGCGTCAGCTCCACGCCGATCTGCAGCCGGTTTCCCCGCCCCACCGGCGACAGTTCTAGCGCCTGGCCGTCAGTGTTGACGACAAACGGCTCGACTCCGCGCATTCCCATCTGAGCTCCGCCGAGATTCGGAGAGGGGAGTGGTGGGGGGAGTGCGAGACAATATAAAAACGGAAAACTAGACGTAAGATGAAATTCGAAGACCAGGTTGGCGGAATAGCTTGTGGGTTGCTTGCTGAACACCCTACGTGTTGAGCAGCAATTCTTACCTGAATCATTCGATTGACCGCGTTCGACCCGCCACCGCCAACGCCAATCACTTTTATCGACGCGCCTGTGAAGCTATCCGCCATACTAACCACCGCGCCTCCCGTTTGCGTGTTCCATTCCGAGTGGTAGTTCACAACAGCGGCGTCGCCATTGTCGACAGTATCTACATATTCTTGCGTTCCGCCAGTGGGCCGTGGCGGCCGGCCGTTCATCCTCGCCGAATCTTCAAATGAAGGCGCGAGGGACGCGCACACTGGCGCGCGCGGAGTGACACCTACGGGGAGAACTTCGGAAACGCCTGCAGTCTTTTTCCTGGTTAGCAGAGGCCTTTGGCCGAGCGAGCGCTCGGGGAAGTTAGGGATTCGAGGTCGCGCGAGTCCGCGGGCTGCGGAGAGACGGTCAGTTTGAGCGCACAGCGACGGCTGGGGGGTTGACGAGGCGACAGCTTCTACTGACGCGAACGGCGTGCGATGCTCAGCCTGCGATGAGATAAGGAATACTTGGGTTTGTGAGCTCGCGACTGTGGGCGCTAGGGACGCCATCATGGTAACCGCTTGGGAGCGAACGTTGTAGATCTATACACTATGCTGATAATGGTATTAACCTACAGGCAGTGAGTGAACACGAACACTAGTTTCCTTAGTCTACGAAGCACAGCTACCTGTGAGCTACTAGGTGGAAATTCATCATGCAGATTGAGCTTGAGGAGGGTTTGTTTTTCACCCAGCAGCTGGGTTGAGTTGAGGCATCCAGCATCCAGCCCAGAGCAAGTTCCTCCAACGATGTTGTCGCGCTTCGCTACACCCAACCACCTTTCCTACTGACGGCGAAAGGTGTGTGTTTGAGCGCGAACGATCTTGGCAGTGCCAGCTGTGTGGTGAGTTTGTGACTGTACGAGGAGTTGAGGATTTGAATGAGAATTTTTTGGCGGGAAGCCAGGGTCAGAGCAAGGTCGAGTTGTTCAGTGGATGAATTAGGCGGGATTTTGTGTGACCAGCCACATGGCTAGGTATACTCTGATTGGACCCTACTGATTCCGAGTCAGCGGTGATTACGGAAAGATTCCACCACCACAGGTACACTGTTCTGTTGGTGGAACTACACTAAGCAGGAAACAGTGCTGAAATTTCTTTTCCAATAACATAAGCATACACAATAATTTACTCCATACCCCATAACATGGTCCTTCCCCCCCTTCCTCCTTTATTCGCCACCCCTTCCACCGAACCTCACTCGTTCCAAGACACAACAGCTCCTCCGTTCATACAACCTTCAATATTTTTCTCCATGCCTCCACCATCAATCGTCTCTCGTGTCACTTGGTGCACTTCTGCTTATCACCAGACACCTTCCACCCATTGGCGCAAAGGCATCTAGGATCAATAGTACTCCCGCTGGTCTCCACAACCTTATCCGACGGGTAGCAGATGCCAATGCGAACGCCACCACACTGCACGTTCCCAGAAGTGCCGCAGAACTTGTTGCACGCAGCAGCAGTCCTCTGCGATGACTTACTAGTGCAGCAATCGTCAGACAGGGAACTGTCCTCTGAGGAGGGAATGGTGAAGCAGTTCTTGGCGAGAGACGCCGCACAGATAGTATCACCGTTTTTGTCTTTGGGCAGGGAAGAACCAAAGAAGTAGTTGTCGTCGAGGTTGAGCGTGGTAGGGGCCTTGTAGAAGCTGGGAGGAGGCCCGGTGAAGTAGTTGGCACTCAGGTCCCTGTGGTGTGTCGGTGGGAGCAGGAGAAGATGCAATGCGTCAGAAATGCATCAAAGGTAAGTCAGATGACGGAACGGTTGGAGCGGAATTAGTGAGGGAAGGGGCAGATGCGGGTTGGGTGAAGGTGTGAAAGACGGACAAATCCAGACGGAGGGGACGCAGAAAGGGGAAAGGGTAGAGTGAATGAATCTAGGACAGAGAGGCGTACGTACACTTCAGTGAGATTCTTGAGGGATGAGAACGAGGGCACGTAGCCATCAAGGTAGTTGTCCTGCAGAAGGCTGTTGGGACAGAACATGGGCATGTGGGAATGAGGCGGGCAGATAAGGCGTGTGTGCGCATGTGAGCAAAGGAGGAGGGAGGAATGAGGTGGAGCGTGAGGGAGGCAGGAAATGGGGCAGGGAGAAGAGAAAGGAAAAGGATGCAGGTGAGGAATCTGAGTAAATAAAAAAAAATCAATGACAGAAACGGGGCTAGTGAGGAGGGAAAGGCGCAGGCACAGGCACAGAGGGAACGAACAAACAAGCAGATACGATTGAGGAACAGGCAGGGGAAGGGAGTTGGAAGGCAGTGAGGAGAAGCGGAAGCAGGGAGGGAGGGAAGCGCACAGGTTGTTGAGCTTGGTGAGCGCGGTGATGGTGCGCGGGATGAGGCCCTTGAAGCGGTTGTTGTTCAGCGAGCTGCGAGGGGTTTGCACGCAGAGCCGAGACACGGGGAGAGGGGTTAGGGGCCGGGATGTAGTGACTGGCGCGCAGGAGGAAAACAACACGGATAGGAGAGTGTGGGAAACCTTACTAATGGAGTGGGAATGGGAAGGAGAGAAGTGGAAGGTGGGTGTGGGTGGGGAGCTGCGGGAAGGTGATGCGTACAGGAATGTGAGCTTGGTCAAAGTGCTGATGACGTTGGGAATGCGACCCTCAAAGCCGTTGTAGCGCATGCTCCTGACCAGCATGGCACGGTTAGGACATGTGTGCAGTTAGGTCACATGGAAGAAGTGCACACTCGGGATGCTTGGAGTGGTGGCGAGGGGGAATGGAGGCAGCAGGTGAAGAGCTAGTGACACGCACAGTGGAATAGCTGGCAGAGAGGGACAAATGAGGCTCACAGGTAGTTGAGGCTCACAGGTAGTTGAGGCTCTTGAGATTGGAGAAGCCCTGAGGGAAGGAGCCATTGAAGTTGTTGTCGCCAAGTAGCCTGGCAGCACCGTGGCATGGCAGCACGGTGGCATGGCGGCACGGCGGCATGGGATCAGTCAGGGGGGCATTCAGACGGGGGATTGGTTGGTGAAGTTGCAGTGGAAACACGATGAGTGAGAGAAAAATGCGGATTCAGAGCGATGTAGAGAGCAAAGATGAGTTAAGCCAGATCAATTTCATTAGCAGCAACAACAACAGCAGCAGCAGGGGCAGCAGGACGCACAGGCGGTTGAGTTTGGTGAGGGACATGAGCACGCTGACTGGCCCGCTCAGACCGTTGCGATGCAGGTAGCTGCACCGAGAGGGGGGAGGTTGGGAGAGGGTGGAAACGAGGGCTGGGTTGGGAAAGGGAAATGGTCAAAACTAGTCCCTTCCTCGTCTCCTCCAATCTCCCTGTTCTCCTCCCCCTCTTCCTTCCTTCCTGCCCTTTCCCTTCCCCTCCCCCTTCCCTCTCTCTCTCAACTCCCTCCCTGCCACTCAACCCATCTCTTCCCACCGCTGACACTCTTAATCCTTCCACCCTCTTCCGCTCCCTCCTCGACCACTCTACACTCCCTGCACTCCTCATTCCCCCCCTTCCCCCCTTAATCGCCCCCGGACCCAGAGCGCTCACAGCTCGTTGAGGCGGGTGAGCTTCCCCAGGCCGGAGGGCAGGGTCCCCTTGAGCCCGTCCTCTCCCGAGGCTGACAGCCCGCTGCACGCACCACAGAGAGTTGCGGGGTGGGGGGCAGGGGAGCAGGCGGAGGGAGCAGGAGGGAAAAAGGTGATAACCGTGAGGCAAGAGGTCGAGGACAGTGCTTACGACCTGGTCGGCGTCTTAGAAAGAGAGCTCAAAGGAATGCGTGCGCCCTCTGAGTGTGTGAGAGACTCACAGGTACACGAGCTTCTGCAGAGTACTGAGGAAGTCGGGGATGGAGCCTGTGAGGGAGTTGGAGCTCATGTCGCTGGCGGTGGTGTGTGGCGAGGGGGGGCAGAGTGGTTGGCACGGTGGGCAAGAGGGGGGCGGGGAAGGTGAGGGGTGAAGGGGTGAGAGGGGGAGGGAGGAGCGGGAAGAGTGAAGAAATGACACAGTGCAAAGAGAGCAGCACAAAGCAGCGTGCGGGAGAGAAGTATGACAGGCGCTCCAGAATGAAGGCAGGAAGTGCAGCGGACAGGAAAGGAGTGGTGAAGAAAGGTAGGGAGTGGTGCGTCAGTGGGGGCGGCACTTGGTGACAGGAGGAGCAACGAGGGGCCAGGTGACATGAGGAGGGAGGGAGGATTGCAGTTGGCTGTGCAGAGCAGGTGAGCATGGGCGTACAGGCGAGTGAGGGCCGTGAGCTTGGAGACGAAGGTGGAGATGGAGCCCTCGTAGCCTGTGTCGGCGATGTCCCTAACGTGGATGAGCATTGGGAGAGAGTTGGTGGGTGACAGGGAAGGGGAGGAGGAGAAGCAATGAGGTTGAATTGGAGGTACATCCCTAATGCAGGGGAGGAGCGATGAAGTACAGGCGATGGGGGGAGGAGGAGGTGTGCGAAGGGAAATGGAGGAGAGTAGAGGGGTGAGGAGTGGAGGGCGAGAAAAAACACACACACACACGCACACACACACACACACACACACACACACACACGCGCACGCACGCACGCGCGCACGCGCGCGCACACACACACACACACACACACACACACACACACACGCACACACACTCAAACGAAAACGAAAACGAGCAAACAGGTCAGCAAACAAATGAATGAAAGAGGAAAAAGGCATGGGTATGAGATGAAGGGACTGAGGAGCGTGGGGGGGCGTTGAGGAGCGATGGGTGGGCGATGGGTGGGTGGGAGGGATGAGACGGCGGCTGACAGGTGTTTGAGCTGCTTGAGGTTGGTGAGTGACGAGAACCCCGTGTTCAGGTTGCTGTTGCCTGACACGTCTCTGCTCAGGGTGGTGGGGGGAGAGGTGGAAAGGGCGGGGGACACATGGAAGGTGGGTTAGCGCGATGCGTGGAAGAGCAGTGGGTGGATGCTTGAGTTGGAAAAGGAAAGATCAAGGAACGGAAACGAGTCTTTGGCAAGGAGGGGCGAGGGTGTGGGAGGGGCGAGAGTGCGCTGGTAAAATGCAGCAGTGCAGACTGCAGCGAAGGGCAGAGTGTCAGGAAAGGGAGGTGCTCACATGTAGGAGAGGGCAGTGATTTTGGAGAGAGATGTGGCGGACTTGGTGATGTTGTTGCCAGAGAGGTCACTGCGATGGTCCGTGGACCATTGGGGTGTGTCATGGGATCAACCGACAAGCAACCGGCAGTCAATGATTGGACGCGCAACGACCATGTCAGTAAACAGGAGGCCGGGTGGCTAAGAAGAGAGAGGGGACGATTGCGTGCCATGACTCGAGGCGTGTTTGGCTGCCGTTCGTCTAGTGAAACAAGGCAGGATCCTGAGGTGAAAGCAGTGGACGGGAAAGGTGGCGTCGCACGTTGCACATCACACTTCGCAAGTCACACGTCGCACGTACAGGTACTTGAGGCTCTGCAGCTTCGTAAGTACGCCGATGGCTCCCGACGCGCCGGCGTCCGGGATCGTCCTGCAAACAGACACGGAGAATGGCCGATTCGGCCAGGGGAGGGGAGGCGTCAGCTGAGATGGCAATGTGACGTCAGCATCCAGGGCTGACAATGTTTCTCTGACTCTCCTGAAAAGTAGCGCATTACAAAGCGAAAATGAGCGGCGCGGCCGCGCGTCACGCGCGTGTCGGCTCACATGTTGATGACATGGCCGTTGTCGGCGCACTGAATGCCCACGTAGTGGTCGCACTTCTTGTCAGAGTCCTTCCACGTGTCGGATCCCGTGAAGTCGCCCCACGCACCCACCAAGTCCTCCAGAACCATCTCTGCGGAATAATTGGCGGACGTTGTGGGGGACGCAGGGTGGAAGAGGGGAGAGAAGAAGAACAAAAAAATCTGACGATGAAATATTAGAACACAAAGGAACGAGCACACGTCGCGTTGCAAAAGGCTTGTCGGGCGTAGATGAGCGAATATTTCCGCGTAACTGCGCGGCTTTGGCAATGCGGAGGCGTGAGGTTATTATTACGGTCGTCGCTGTTAATCTTGGTTGCCATGGTGGCGAGCGGTAGGCGCAGAGACTCCACGTGGAGGCAGATGCTGCTGGTGAGGCACGCAGCGAAGATAGCAGCTAGCAGATGAAGATTCGCACACGAAAACGACGCCATTGTCAAGAGTTCGTGAAGCAGCGTGTATGACGAGGTGCAGGAACTAAATTAGCCACAAATAGTGCCGTGAGCTTCAGAGAATCACCTTGAATCCGTTGACAATGGTTACAAATTGGAAGTAATCACCTTTACACTAGATGTGTACAACTCGGCGAAAGCTTACGCTTTGTACATTTGATTGTCGCCGAGCCGCCTTCCCATACCAGCCATGCCAAGTCGCGTGATTCGGCGGCGCGCGGACGAGCCTCAATGTTGAACAAGGCAAGCCGATCTCACCCAAGCTGCCGGCGCTTGAGAGCTTGATGCGCTGCCAGAAGGAGTGGGCTTGCCAAACCTGCCCACGCACAAGAATTTCGGCGGTTCCTCTGGAAAATGGTGAAGCTGACTGGTGCGCGGCACCAGCCGCTCATATGGCAGGGCTCTCCAGTTGGTTTTGGGGGACCCTGATAGGTCCAAGATGCCAACGAGGTTCACCCTGCCACTGTAGTGAGCCGGGCATGGCACAGTCAAAAAGTTACTTTTTGGGAAAGTATGTGCTGGCTACCTGGTTATTGAAACAATTTCACATTTCATCCTGGGTTTGACTCAGACACCTACTTTTTGGGAATTCGTTCAAAACAATCACAGATTAAGTTTCACTACGCATAGTGCCAGGCAAAGTTTTTGACACGTGTCCAATGTTTACACGGACAAAAAACTAAAACCCGATCGGGAAGGGATGCGACTCGGGGAGGCATCAACCCTAAAGGGAAATGATCAAACTGGGGCCGAAGAGTGCCAGAGGGATGACCAAAGTAGGGCCAGAAAATCTCGACCGTAGGATTTTCGACCCCGAGCTGCCCAAGAGGCTAGGCAAACAAACCGAACCATGACTAAAAGAGAAAAGCTACCAGCACCAAACTTTGTGTCCAACTTACTGAAAAAAATGGTTACTACCGCTGTCTGCTATTACGCGCACATCGCGTTCTTCCGGAAGTAAATATTGCTATGTTAATTTGTGAGTCCAAAAACAAATTCATTATGGGTGATAAATATCACTCCCTGATCGGAAACGCGCAGAAAAAAAAAATACCCATTCGGAAATGGATGCGACTAGGGAGGCATCAACCCTAAACACAACGAAGGTTCCCGTTTTTAGGGTTGATCCATCCCGAAAATGCATCCAGGTTCCCCTTGGGGTTTTAGTTTTTTTGGCTGCTAAACGACGCTATTGGGAGGAAGGTGTGTCAGAGTATTATAGCTGATGCATGTTTGTAGGCTATAGTGGGGTAGCACATATGGGGTACACGGTTTCTAGGGTTGTATTTGTACCCAATCTTTCCTTAGTCATTTCATTCCTGTTCACTTATTTCACATGGTATAGAGCGGGTCCTTCCTTAGGACCGTTTTTTTTAGGGCCCACCGAAGCGCGCCCCGAGGCGCGCCCTTTTTTTTTTTTTTTTTTTTTTTTTCAGCGACCCCTCGGGTCGCCATTTCCCTCGCGGCCCCGCTGTCCCTCAGACGCGGCCCCGCCACCCCTCCTGATCGCGGCCCCGCCGCCTGCTTGACGCGGCCCCGCCGCCGGCTCTGACGCGGCCCTGCCGCCCGCTTCGTCGCGGCCCCGCCGCCTGCTTGACGCGGCCCCGCCGCCTCCACTGACGCGGCCCCGCCGCCGGCTCTGACGCGGCCCTGCCGCCCGCTTCGTCGCGGCCCCGCCGCCTGCTTGACGCGGCCCCGCCGCCTCCACTGATGCGGCCCCACCGCCGGCTCCGCCGCTGCACCCTACGGCCCGCCGCCTCACCTGACGGCCCCGCCGCTGCACCTGCCGGCCCGCCGCTCACCTGCCGGCCCGCCGCTGCACCCAGCGGCCCGCCGCTTCACCTGACGGCCCCGCCGCTGCACCTGCCGGCCCGCCGCTGCACCCTACGGCCCGCCGCCTCACCTAGTCGGCCCGCCGCCTCACCTGCCGGCCCGCCGCTGCACCTGCCGGCCCGCCGCTGCACCCTACGGCCCGCTGCTGCACCCTACGGCCCGCCGCCTCACCTGGTCGGCCCGCCGCTGCACCCTACGGCCCCGCCGCTGCACCTGCCGGCCCGCCGCTGCACCGGTCGACCCGCCGCTGCACCTGACGGCCCCGCCCCTGCATCTCCCAGCAGAGCCGCCCCAGCAGCCGAACCGCCCGGGAGCCGAGCCGCCCAACGCCGAGCCGCCCGGGACCCGAGCCGCCCTGCCGCCGAGCCGCCCGGGAGCCGAGCCGCCCTGCACCCGAGCCGCCCTGCCGCCGAGCCGCCTGGGAGCCGCGCCGCTGTGCACCCGAGCCGCCCGGTCGCTGAGCCGCCTTTCTGCGGAGCTGCACGACCTGCCCTGCCTGGTGAGCACCGTCCCACTGACACTGCGAGCTCTTTCCCTACTGCTTGCACTGCGTCGCTGTCGTCGCCATGGCTACCCCTAGTGTCCTAGCTTTTGACGCTGAGGGTCGCGCCATTGATTTTGAGGTCTGGTTAGACGACCTGCAGCTGTTCTTACAGTGCGACAGGGCTGACGGCCTTTCTCTCTTTGACCTCACCTCTGGCGCCTCTCCTGCTCCTGCTACTGATGCTGATCCCACTGTCCGCTCTCAGTGGGCCACCCGCGATGCTGCTGCACGTCTTGCTGTGCGTCGCCACCTCCCTACCTCTGAGCGTGCGCACTTTAGTCAGTACAAGAGTGCTCAGACCTTGTACGACGCTGTAGTTGCGCGCTACTCCTCCCCTGCCACTGCTGCACTGAGCCGTCTCATGCTTCCCTACCTCTTTCCTGACCTCTCTGCCTTTCCCACTGTTGCTGACCTCATTACGCACCTCCGCACTAGTGACACTCGCTACCGCGTCGCCCTTCCTGCTGAGTTCTGCGCTAAGAACCCACCCCCCATGTACATCGCTCTCTACTACGTAGTCGCGCGCCTCCCTGACTCCCTTCGCGTCGTCAGGGACCACTTTCTCGCAGTCTGTCCCACCACCCTCACCGTCGACCTCCTCGAGAAGGCCCTCCTCGCAGCGGAGAAGAGCATAGTCGCTGTAGGTGCTTCTCGTGGTGACCCTCGCACCCCCATCTTTGAGGGGTGCTCTCCTTCCCCCTTGCTGCCCTCTGTTGCCTCTGCTGCTGCTGCCGACTTGCTTGGTCTTGAGTCGGTCGGCGCGGCGTCTACCCCTAGTGGGAGACGTGGCTCCAGCAAGGTCAAGGGGGGCAAGGGCGCGGGTGGAGCTGGAGGGGGCGGTGGCGGCGGAGGGAGTGGGGGTGGCGGCGGGACTAGTGGCGGGGGTGGTGGTGGTGGTGGCAGCAGCGGCGGAGACGGTGGTGGTGGTGCCAGCGGTGGTGGTGGAGGCAGCGGCGGGGGTGGAGGCGGCGGAGGTGGAGGCGGTGGAGGCGGCAGCGGAGGAGGCGGTGGTGGTGGAGGAGGTGGAGCTGGTCGGGGTGGTACCCAGCAGCGTAGCGGCGGTGGTGGTGGCCAGCGCTCGCAGCAGCAGCAGCAGCAGCGCTCGCGGGACATCCCTCCGCCTCAGCAGCTTCGTGAGTGGTACGCTGGGCGTCAGAGGGGTGGGGGTACTGGTCCCTGCACCTACGTTCTTCGTTCCGGCGACCGCGCGGGTGAGCAGTGTGGGGGTGCCCACGCCACCCAGCGCTGCTTAGGCCGCCTGACGGACGCTTGGCGTCGGCAGTTCCCTGGGGCTAGTGAGATCCCTCACTGGGATGAGCTTCTAAGGGCTGGTGTAGCGATCTTTGATCTTGATTTTGATGCTATCCTTGCTGCTATGTATGCTGTGGATTATAGTGAGGAGAATGAGGGTTACCGGTGTTTCCAGCCCGACCCGGGCATTGGTATTGCTGCGCTAGGTGCTTGTGAGGCTGCTGCTCTAGGTGCCAGTGCGTCTGTACTCTCAGGTACTGGTGAGACTGCGCTCTCAGGTACTGCGTCGTCCTCGTCCTCCCTCACTTTCACACTTGACTCCGGGGCTTCTCGCTCCTTCTTTCGAGACCGCACTACCCTTACGCCGCTCGGCCGGCCGGTTGCGGTCTCCCTTGCTGACCCCTCTGGGGTCCTGTCCTTTCTCACTTTACCACTGTCCTCCCGTGTCCAGCTGCCCCTTCGGGCACCCTGTCTGGTCTGTACCTTCCCTCGTTCTCTACGAACTTGGTGAGTGGGGCGGACCTGCAGGATGTGGGGGTTCACCAGTTCACTCCTGCGAGTCAGCGGGTGACCCACTGCACGGAGGCACGCACAGGCCGAAACCTGGCCACGTTCTCGCGTCGGCCGGGGTCGAGTCTCTACACCCTGACCGTTGGGTCTCCTCCTGTCCCTGCGTCTGGTCAGGTGGCTGCGTCGGGTCAGGTGCTTGCTGCTGCGTCCCGGTCAGGTCCTGAGTCTGCCCCCTGTTCTTGTCGCCTCCTGTCTCACGAGACTCTCCTGTGGCACCACCGTCTTGGCCACCCCTCCTTGCCCCGTCTTCGGAGCATGGCTTCCCGTGTCCTTGTCTCTGGTCTTCCCCAGTCTCTCCCTCCTCTCCCCTCCGGGCCAGGACCTTCCTGTGTCCCTTGTGTCGAGGGTCGCCTCCGGGCTACTCCTCACTCCTCCCACTTCCCCCCGACAGATGCTCCCCTGCAGACGCTTCACATGGATGTGTGGGGCCCAGCCCCCGTCCGTGGGCAGGGTTACGAGCGCTACTTCCTGTTGGTGGTTGACGACTACTCGCGTTACACCACAGTCCTCCCCTTGCGCAGCAAGGGTGCGGTCACTGAGGTGCTGATCGACTGGATCCGCGAGGCTCGTCTCCAGCTCAGGAAGAGCTTCGGCTCGGACTTTCCTGTTCTGCGTCTGCACTCGGACAGAGGCGGAGAGTTCTCTTCTCGCCTTCTGCCGGACTACTGTCGTG